ATGGCCATGGCACCAGGCTGTGGTTTCAGTACAGGTCTGATCCATCTATGTTTGTTCTGGGGTCCAGACTTAAGGGGCTGGCTCTCTATAGGCTATATTCTCTATAGGCTGTGTTCATCTTATGGTCGAGAAACACAGAAATGAGAAGAGATGGTTGATATCTCTGAAGTCTTAGTCAGATGTGGCACTCTGTCCTTCCACCTACATTCCATGGGACAAAGCAAATCACATGTCTAAGCCCAACATCAGCCTGGGAAGGAAAATACCCTACTTGCTCTATCAGAAGATACTGTGATCTCATGTAATAAAGGCATGAATGTACACTTTTTTTTTTTTTTTTGGTCAGTTGTGGGGCCTGAACTCAGGGCCTGGGCACTGTCCCTCAGCTCTTCAGCTCAAGGCTAGCGCTCTACCACTTGAGCCACAGCGCCACTTCAGCTTTTTTTGCTTATGTGGTACTGAGGAATTGAATCCAGGGCCTCATGCATGCAAGCATCCTACCACTGAGACACCTTCTCAGCCCTGCGTGTAAACTTCTTACACAGGGAGAACATGAATAGTCGGGAGCAATCATTCAATGAAGGAGAAGATGTATTTTGATGGACAGCTGGAAATCTCTGCTGCATCTGTCTTTTACATTTCTTCTCTTTTGCACGGGAATGAGTTGGAAGGAATTCCAAACCGTGAGACTTTGTAAATAAATTATTATATATGTACAACAAGATTTGGGTAAAATTGATAAAATACAAGATGTTAGGTAAAATAATAAAAATTGAATGAGAAATAAGATAATTTCCTTTGTGTGTGTGTATGAATATATGTATGTATATGTGTTTGTGGCAGTACTGGGGTTTGAACTCAGGACCTGGGCACTATCCTAGCACTACCATTTTAAGCCCCACCTTCACTCTGGCTTTTTGCTGGTTAACTGGAGATAAGGGTCTCACAGACTTTTCTGTCCAGTCTGGCTTCCAAGCAAGATCCTCATCTCTCAGCCTTCTGAGTAGCTAGGGTTATACATGTGAGCCACTGGTGGTGGAACAGTGCTTTTAGGCTCAAGTTAAAAGATTTCCATATATGTAATATGTGTAAAAATATAAATGTACATATAAAATAATGGAGGTCTTTGTAGCTTCAGAATATCTTTGAGGGCTGGGAAGGTGGCTCAGTGGTAGAGCGCTTGCCTTGCATGCATGAGGCCCTGGGTTCGATTCCTCAGCACCACATAAGCAAAAAGAAAAAAGCTGGAAATGGCGCTGTGGCTCAAGTGGTAGAGCGCTAGCCTTGAGCTGAAGAGCTGAGGGCCAGCGCCTAGGCCCAGAGTTCAGGCCCATGACCGGACCCATAAATAAATAAATAAATAAACAATATCTTTGAATCAAAGATAGTTTAGGTCATCTTTATTTCTAAGAATATTTTATAATAAAGTCTACAAAATTTAAGAAATGAAGCACGTAGAAATAAAATATTAAAAGAACTGAAATGGAAAATTTCATTTAATTTTATAACATTCTGAAAAAGCACACAAAAGCTGGGCACCTGTGGCTCACGCCTGTAATCCTAGCTACTCAGGAGGCTGAGATCTGAGGATAAGGGTTCAAAGCCAGCCCTGGCAGGAAAGTTCGTGAGACTATCTCCAATAAACCACTCAGAAAACTGGAAGTGGCGCTGTGGCTCAAGAGGTAGAGCACTTGCCTTGAGCTGAAGAGCTGAGGGACAGCGCCCAGGCTCAGAGTTCAAGTCCCACGACTGACCAAAAAAAAAAGCACACAAAGTACAAGTATTACTAACTTCATCTATTCTAAAATATTTAGAAAAAAATCAGTTTTCTGAAGTTGTGAAGACTGGAAAAAATTTGGATGCCTTTAGTTCAGGGACTGGGCACGGTTTCTGAGCTTTTATTTTTTGCTCAAAGTTATTGCTCTATCCTTGAGTCACAGCTCCACTATTGGCTATTGTTGCTGGCTAATTTGGAGAGAAGAGTCTTATGGACTTTCTTGGCCCAGCTGGCTTCAAACTGTGACTCTCAGATCTCATCCTCCTTACTAGGCAAATATACAGGCATGAGCCACCAATGCCCAGCCTCTGTATCATGTTTTT